GCAAACCCCGACTTTTCACACCTCACCTGTTCTCCCAGAACTCGGGTGATTTTGAGACCATTTTTGTTTGTCTCTCCGCCAAGCTTTGCATTTTGTTTGTCTTAGTAAAGGCTATCCTGAGTAGCGTGAAACGAAGAGTGGGGTGTGTCTACTGTTGCATCAATCTTCACGAAATGCACACAAGCAGTGTGTCAAAAAACATTGACGCATAGGTCTCAATTACGTCGGAATCGCCAGCGTTAAATTGTTCCGTTTCCGGCTGTTAACAAAAAAAGCGATTGGTTCATTACTGCGAATTCAGTTTTTTTATTAGATTATGATCAACGTTTTTTGCCGATCCCCGTACAAATGTACTCGCTTCTGATTGGTTCTGTGACATTCGGAGTTGATCGATCTGTGTTCGAAGTGATCGGTTATTTTAAAATACACTGTTGATCAAAACAAATCAGGCTTGCTGATTGGACGGTAGAAACTCTTGTCCGCTTTCGGTTGATTGGCCGGCTTGTGGTACCACCAGCTTCTAGAGCGCTGATCTCATCTTATGTTTTGTGTAGCCTGGTATACTCGCAAGATCCTTTTAAATCCAAGCTGGCCTCCACATGGGGCGTTGGCCTATGGACAACATGCTGCCCCTTAAATAATATAGGGGCGAGATGGCCCAAGTGGTAAGAGCGCGAATTTACTGACCGGAAGGTCCGTGGTTCGAATTCGACCTCTGCATCTCGACTTCCCCTGTCTAGGCTTGGGCGACCTGGCAGTATCCCAGCCCTCGTGCTTCTTTCGGGTAGCATGGCAGCTAGGCACCGGAAGGGTGCTACAGCGTAACGCTTCTATCGCTTTCGATACACAATTTAATGATCGTTCTCCTCGAATTCAACCACGTTGATTGTCAGGCTTCGCGACTGTCCGTCTAGCAAAGGCGCTCCGTTCTCAAATGTCAGGCTTCGCTATGTATGTCATCATTTGTATTCACCAAATCCGTTGGTGTTCGGCTTGGATATCCCCTATCCTGTTCTACGTTTAAATAACATGATAAATAATCGTTCAGCTGTAACATCCTTTCGTTGCTAGCTGCCAATGCCACCCGAAGGGAGCACGAGGGCTG